CTCAGGGGGGGGGGGGGGGCTCCAGCCCCCCAAGCATCTCTGTGGCCTCCTCTGGCCCCGCTCCAGCAGGTCCGTGTCCTCCTGCTGTTGATACGCCCAGAGCTGGACCCAGCCCTGCAGGGGGGTCTCCCAGAGCAGAGGGGGAGAATCCCCCCCTCACCCTGCTGCCCACCCTGCTCTGGGTGCAGCCCAGCACATGCATGACTTTCTGGGCTGCCAGCGCATGTTGGTGGCTCACAGGCAGTTTTCCACCCACTGACACCCCCAAGACCTTGTCCTCGGGGCTGCTCTCCACCCCCTCCTCACCCAGCCTGGGTTTGTGCTGGGGATTTCCCCAACCCGTGGGCAGGACCTTGCCCTCGGCCTTGTTGAACTCCACGAGGTTTGCACAGGCCCACCTCTCCAGCCTGCCCAGGTCCCTCTGGATGGATCCTTCCCTCAGTGTGTGACTGCACCACACAGCTCAGTGTCACTAGCAAACTCGCTGAGGGTGTGATTATTGATTCTTCTAAGTTTTACATGTATAGACTTCAGAGTTAAAACTCAACTGTGATGAACACTACAGATTATTTACGATGATCTTTACAAATTATTCACGTGCAGGCAAATCCAACTGCTGTCACACTCATATCTAGAAAGTTTTATTTTCTGGTAGTTTTCTGCTCCAGAACCGTCCATGGTAGACTTTTAAAGAATAACAAATTCAACAGTGACAAAGAACTAACAGGAACAAATTTAACAGCCACAGCGTTGAAAGGCCATAGCTGCAAGCTCAGTGTATTTGGAGTAAGGGTTCCATGTTTGTTTAAATTACACTTATATTCTCTTATTTTCACATGCAGATTAATTCAGGTTCCTCATTCCCAAGAAACATACCCCTTACTTACTTCAACAGAATTGTCCTTGCATCCATCTCTGCATTCTCATCACCAGGAACGTCAAATTTATTAGTGAGTGTGAGAGAAACCTCAGTCTTTGCTAGCATTTCCCTGTTGGGGTCATTAACATTGCCAGACCCTTCCCCTGCCAAACCAAAAGAGTTTACAGATTAAACTGTATTCTTTACATTCTTGACTGCTAGAGCTTTGTAACTTTTCCCTATGTAACAGACCACAGAAAAACTACACTGTTTCCTATACTGTCAAAAGTACATTTCAAAAGCCATAAACAGCTTTTAAAAACATCATCTGGAGTATGTTACAAACTTATTCTTCACAAAACTGAGAAAGCACAGGCCAGAAAGGCACCACAAAATCACTAGTTTGTATGCCTTAAAGATGTACACATATTTCACACTGTATCTCAGCACCTCAGCCTACTGAGTAGTTGACCCACCAAAAAATACTTTCTAAATAAAAATATGACCATGCCTCTATGTCCATGTCCTCATTAGAATGAATTTTCAAGCTAAGAGAAGCCTTTGTGGGCAGCTGAACTTATCTTCTACTAAACAAAGCCATCTGTCAAAAGAAATTTTTCTTGTTCTAATTGTGCCTGAACTTTCATCAGAACAGTTGTTAGGATGCTTCCCCTCCTGCCCCACTTTTTTAAAGGGCTCCAGTGAGGTTAAACTCTGACACAACCATCACATTGCTACAACGCACACAGGAGAAATTAAATTAAGAAAAAGGGTAAGTTCTAGTTAAACTTGAGGTCTAGGTTAGCTGTAATGCTTTTTATGTTCTGTTCTTTGCCAGTGCTTGGAAGAAAATATGCTACCAGTCATACCTTTAAAAGGTTCCAACCTTTTAATCAAAGCAACTTCAAGACAAGCATTTTGCTGTCAAAGCATACTCTCCAAAAACAACTTTGTCTGTTTCGTCCCCCGTCCCCCCTACTAGACCCCACTAAACTTCACAGTTCAAACAGCTGCAACCAAGGAAGGAGAGGCTTGTGCACCTTTCTAGTGTTTGTTATATCCTGAAGCAGTAAAACAAGGCTCAGGTTTTTAAAAAAACTTTCACAGATTAGTGAAGTCAGTTCCTTCCTCTCCCACCCAGAATAAAAAGGATAAAATTCTTAATATGTAGAAAAAACTCTAAAGGATGGAAAAAACTTATTTGTCCATACACCTAAGATCCTTGTAGGGTCACATGTCATTTAATACACTTATTACTGCACTCTGGAAGGAATGCGTACAGATGTCCAGAATGGAGGCCAGATCTTTGCAAACAAGCTGGGACAGACATACACACAGACATGGCCATTCCAGAAACAGAATAAAGAAAACATGTCAAAATATCCATCTGCCTTGTAGAAACTTCTGGAGTGGGGGTGAGGTGAGGAGGGGTGGAGAACAGCAGGGACCCCTCCTTTTTTTCAGGGTAACAAATTCTTCAGTCAGAAACTGGAACATCTTCCCTAACGACCTATAATGATTCCTTAGTTTCTTTACTGCACTTCAAATCATCTAAAGTAATATCACATATTTCTTAAGCACAATAAACTAGACCACCTATTAAGGACTCAATTGTAGGAACCTCTCCGAGATCATCCAGCAGCTCATGAATTGGATCGTTGTGCTCAGGAGCAATTGCATCTTGATGGTCTAAGAGCAACTAGATGAACAGAAAAAACATTTATGTTCTTAATTGTACATCCTTTTCTAGTAAAATTACATTACTTTGAGCTGGTATCTTTTAGAAAAAGATCTTATTTCACTGAACTCCACAGCAGCAGTATCAGTATTCAAAGCTGTGCCATTATCACATACTCAAATACTTCCAAAAGAAACTTAAAGCAGTCACTAACAGATTACTTAATTCCTAATTATTTAATTAATAAACCAACAAGCTCTTGCATGCTACGAAAGACAACTTTCAGCCTTTTATTTGGTAACTTCACATTTCAGACAGAAGCAGCATTTTCTTTGCAAGCACTGCTTGTAAGGAGCAACTGTGACCGGTGTATACTTACTGTGTGTGTATTGATGATTTCACCAATAGAAATATAAATAACTGGTTTAGTGAGAGTCACCAAGTCAGAATATTCATCAATATTAAATTTATCCTGCAATTCAGGAACCTCACAGGCAGCCTGAAAAAAACGTCTTCAGAAAAAAGGAGGAGAAAACAATCAGTATGACTGACAGTCACATGAAGCATCAAGAGCATTAACTCCCCAAGACAATCCCAAGCGTACTCTCTCTGCTTTAATCCATGGTACATTATGGCATAGTACAGTCTGCCAGCCTTAGCTTAACATATCAGAAGTAACCTAGTAAATTAAATTACTGATATTGGTCATGTGACACTGGCTCATTTTCAGCATTCATGGGACTGGTCTACGGCTCCAGTGACCTTGTTCACACATCCTCCTGCCTCCACTGCAGTAACACCCTCTGCTCCCAGCAACCTCTGGTTTTCTTTCTTCCACAACACATGAGGTATAAGATGACAATTCCAGAACAAAAGCTTACTTCAACTATATGAACAGCTAAGTGCCAATCTGCTTTATTCCTGAGCACCACTGGGTTTTCAGGTGGAGACAGGGTTCACACAGGATAGAGAATGCATGTCCATTTATTGTTCATGTTCAAAGTATCACAATAAACATGTCCAGAAGCAACCTTTATTCTGGAAACTCTTAAGTCCAAACACTTGACTTCGCAATCTCATTCACATACAATGTATTGTTCATAAATTTGATGTACACACTTTACCTGCCATTGTCACTGATGCTTACGGCAGTCTGGAGTGCAACCTCTTATCTTCAGACAGACCGTATATTTGACAGAGACAGAATTTATCATATTTAAAATTTACTATTATCCCTTTTTACTTGCAATGTTACCCTCCGCCACACTTTTCAACTTAATTAGCCAAGGTCTTCTACCTGAATTTCTGGTATGACTGCGATAGGTATTCATTAATGATGCTTAGGTGGGCATTGTCTCCCATGAACATCTTGTTGGATGCAGCATGCTGCAACATCTTTGCAATGGAACCGAGGTTTCTGCGTTGATCCGTGGTCAGCTGACCTCCAGCTGAAAGGTCAATTATGTCAAACGCATCTGGTGCGACAATGGCTGGATTCATGTAGCGGTAATAGAGTAAGTTGCCAACAATCTGGGAAAAGTTGAGTAGAGAAGAAAAGCATCAGGAAACAATGATATAGGACCTGACTGAATTTTACTGAAACTACTCTGTGCTTTGATAAATTATTTTCTTGTAAGCCAGAGGCTTCTTCCAAGATAAAGGTTCTGCTGTGCTGCTGTATGCGAGTATATACTAGGATCTACAGTGTAAAATAAAATAAAATAATTAAGACGCAATAGGATGGTCAACACAAAGAAGGAAGACTGAGCACTACTAGTCACAGGACAATACAGCAGCAGATATTCCTATGCCTGAAGATTAAAAACTTTAACTTAAAGTGTACGGACAGAAGACATTATAAATTACCAACGGACTACTCATATGAGCATGAGACAATCTATCAGGAGCATTAAACGTAACTGAGTTAGTCTAATAGAGGGCAGAACGATCATGTATAGAGGAACCCAATAATGCAGTGTCAATATGGGACAAGACCTAATTCTTAGAGAAGCGTGCAAAATTGCCCACCATTTCTGACAAAGCAAAAATGGTGAGGAAGCATGGCACACCAAGGAGCTAAACTGAGGAAACTTACTTTCCATTCCTTCTTCAAAGTTCTTTCCTATTTCAGAATAATGCTTTGATAAGCCAGCAACATTTTCACGCATAGACCCCCAGTTAGCAAGAAGAACTGAGAAACCATTTAATTCAGAGGCAAGAAATCCAGAAGTGCAGAAGACAAATGGCACTTGATGCTTCAAAACCCAATTTACCTAGTCAATTGTGAGCAGCAATAAACTTCAAGGAACAAAAAATAAAGATGTCACGTTATCCATATGGTCACAAATAAGACTTCTAACCTGTATTTAATATTTTGCCAAAAGTAATTTCAGCAATGAAAAGGAATTAACCCAATATGCTATTGTAAAGCAGTAGTTCTCACACCACATGCTCTAGTATTTTCTGGTAGTTCACAGAACTTTGCAGAGGGCCAGGTCACTGAATCTTGGCTTTGCCTACTTGCCACGTGACCTAAATACATGGAAGAGACTGGGGTCTGAACAAACAGCTGAAAACAGAGAAAAAAAAACAATCTAGCCATTGCTGAGCAGCCCCAGAAATTATTAACTGCTTTCAGTGAGGTCATGTTTTTGACAACTGTTTCATGCAAGCCCCTGCCATACTCTCACAAATTATGTCATGGGATGACAACAGTCAAAGCTGTTTACTACCAGCAATAAGAAAACACATCTGTGAAAGAAACTGTATTAGTGACTTTCAGGCTTGCGGAGGGAGAAGAACAGTGTATTATATGGGTAGCTCTGGTTGCTAAAAAAAAAAAAAAAAAAAATCTAGTAGTAGTCATTGCACGCAACTGCAGTTTTGACTTTCATGTGGACATTTACATTGTTTCCACAAAGATTAATGAAAACCGCAGTTTTCCACCTAAATTTACAGATGGAAGAAATTAATTCACCTGCTTAGAAAGAATCGATGTCTCAGAATGGGAAAGCACAGAACTAGAAGAGAGAAGAAAACAGCATTCAGATTGGTAATTATTTTGTGATGAAGCAGAGGTAGAGAAGTTTAAAGAGACGCTGTCAAGTATTCCAAGATCCAAACTTTATTAACAAGCAAAGCATTCATGGACATAAAGGCTTTCACAATTATCAGAAGCCATAAACCCAAAGAAATTTTAATAAAAAACCCCAAAGCTATACTAATCTGAGACTGCCTACTATTAGGATCCTTTTAGTCCTTCAAATCTACTGAAATGCAAAATATAAAACTGACTAGGCATCACAAAAAGTGACTCTCTACCCGTTGCTATCAAAATATCCTGGAGTGCTACAGATAGGGGAATCAGGAACATCAGAATTTTGCATACAGGCTTATTAACTTGACATTGTCTCTTTAAGAAAGGAACAGCTGGCTGTGATCATACCAGCAAAATCAAGGTTTACTTTCTAGGTGCAAGAGTACCCCAAGTCAAGAAACCTAAAGGACCCAACGCCCAAGATATTAAAACCAAATCAGGACATCTCCTTCTGAACAATGTATTACATCTCAGGTGACATATATGAAGCTAACAATCAAAAGCCCAATATGAAACATTTTCTAGCTGTAGAAATACGTAAGTTTATATATGTTTACATGCACTCCTCTCCACACACATAGCTGACAAAGAAGAATGAGATGCGCTTGCCACAGCGAATTTGGCTGACAATTATTCACAAAGTTGTTCAGATCCTCACCTTCAGAAGATCATCCTCGCCAGCATCAGGAAACTTCTCGTGCAGGGAGTCTTTTAGTACCTTGGCAATGAAACGCATTCCATAACTTTGAGAGAAAAAAATAAGCAAATAAGACTGCTGCAAGCATGAACCCACCACCAACTTCCCCGAGATAATACTGTGGTACACCAGACTCACGGGATTTTGTCCACTGAACTAACAATGGCAGACAGGAACTTGTCTGTCACTGTTCTCATGTTTCTGATTGAGGCATCCAGGCGTATCCTCACCTCTTCATGATTCAGAGCTTGTTCAGGTGTAACATCGTATGGCAGTTTGCTATTTGAAAAAGCCAAACATGTGAAGGTGAGTATTCCTCAGGTTAACATATTTGAAGAACTTCTAGCTGGACACAGAAACCAGCTTATATTCACTTGGCTGCCAAAAGCTGTGCATTGCCTTCAACTGAGCTTTCACTCACTGAAGGAGCTGAATACTTCTTGGTTTTACTCCCTCTACTCTCCCTTGCAATAGCCACTGTGAGAAAAGGCCCAGCTAACCCAAAACTGGCTGGGACTTTTTGTGGGGTTTGTTTTGGTTTGGCTTGTTTTTTTTATGGTATACACACATGCACACTAAGCAAAAAAGTGTCATCTGTGACTTGCAGTGGTACTTCAGGCTGCAGATAAACTGGTGAAAAAGCAAGCTACACATTTGAACATTAACATGATAAAAGCTTGGACACAAGCCAGCAGCTAGAACAGCATCCATAAAACTGATGTAACATGCTAGGGGAGGAAGCAGTGACGTTTTCTCCATCAGCTAGAGTTACTGCACAGTATTCCAGTGAAGACAGGTGAAGCAGGTAATTCATAGAAATGTCTCCTAAATCTCATGTAAAAAGAAAGACCTGAACACACATTTTTGCCTGCATTTTTAACACATTCAGAATTTTGAACCAGGCATATGGCAAGATATGACTGCAGATTGCTTTGAAGGGTATACTCACTCATCTGCATGGTGCTTTTTGTGGTGGTTTTTTTTGGGTTTTTTTTTTTTTAAAGCTATGTTACAAAACCCAAACACAATAGAAACCTCAAGTTCTAGTAAATCACACACACTGGAAGCCACCAAAATGACACAAAACCAAATAGTACAATCCAACTGTTATCAGTGTCTGATACTAGAAAGATGTTAGGACTAAAAGAACTGCCATCTCACACTCCTCCACCAAAGAGGCTTCTCTGGCTTGCAAATAGTACTTGAGTTTGCAGAGGCTATATACAACATGAACAGAGACTGACATAGATCAATTCCCAAATAGCTTTTCTTACCATGATTTCTTTTAGTTTAGAGGGCACCTCATAGATCATTACCAAGTCAACATAGGCAAACACCAAAGAGCATTTCTTCTTCCATCTCCTAAGGAGATTCCCTTTCAATACCCTCAGCACCATCACCAGAACACTATCTTTAGAACTCTCAGATAAAAGCCATTTTAGATGGAAAAGCCAGTTATCAGTTGGACACAGGCATGCAGTGAAGCCATGAATGGTTTGGAACGATTAACAGAGCAGTGCAAAGCAGCCAAGCAATGTTTAAAAAACACAGTAGTAAGAGTTCCCATACCTGGCCTCGCCAGTTTGAGACTCCATCTGGTTAACCCAAGACTTGTAAATATCCACTGGATCGGTTTTGATATTGAGTGATTTGTCATCGATGATTTCCTTCACAACTGGTGCCAGGATTTGCCTCAGGGCGTTCTGACCACGGGCACCACGGTTGAAACTTACCACCATTTTAATAACAGTAGGATTCCCCGTCACAATTTCATGTATTTGGTCTACTTTTGATCTGAAGAAGAAAGACTCTATATGAAATATGAGGTATGCATAACTCTGTCAGCTTTAAATCCATTTCTCAGCATAAAACAGACTGTTAAAGAGCATCACCCTCATGAAACAGATGATGGATTTGTACTAAAAATCTTGATACAGCAACAAACCACAACACTGTGTAAGATCAATACTGGAACACTTCTCAAGACAGAAGAGGCCAGAAACTTATGACCTCTGGGAATTTCAATGCAACTTACCAGTAGTCATCTCAATGACAGTTAAAGCAAAGGTGACTGGACATTCTATTTGAGAGTACAATTCAAAAATACAAAGGGAACAGAGCACATTCTATGTAGAGAAGAAAAAGAACAGTAGGTTTCTTCCAGTATTTAAAATAACGAAACAAGCAATTGACAACAAAAGTCACTCCTAGTATAGAGCTATGTGAAATACAGCAGCTGAGAACAAAAATTCTACATTTCCCTGGACTACTATTCCAAGCATTAATTTAAGGAGAGGGGGGGCACGGCAGGAATAATCTCTTTTAGAAGTTATTTATTTCAGGGTGTATTCCAAAGTGCTTAAAGAGTAGTTCCTCTAAATGTTATTGCGCGTGCTTCTTCACAGCAAGCTGTGCAGCTCTGCACTGTAAAGAACTGAAGTCACGTAACACGAAGCTCCTAAGGCCCAACTGATCAAGCAGAACATGCCTGAGGACAGAGTCCCTAACACTGACAGTAAACAGAAATGCCAAACAATAAAGACTCTCAGTTTCAGCCTCCTCATCAGCTTCTGGAAATCCAGAGAGCTTAGTGTTAGCTCTCTCCCCAGCTTGTAAAGCCTGAGTTTGCCATTTGTTTGGAGGTGTCTATAACCAGACACTGGTGAACTGAGATTAGCCTGAATTTCAGGATGATTCTGCATCAGATTAAAAGTAGCTACCATATTGAGCAGTGAAATATTTACCGAAGTAAAAAGTCCTCCTCCTCAATGGACATACTCAACTCTTCCTTTATAGACTACATTAAGAACAGATGTGAAGTGGGAAGAGGACACTGAAGGGACATGCAGCGTTATCTGCATATTAGCATGAGACAGAACATGAAAACTGCTTCAGTTCAAGAAATTGCCAAAACTGATTCAACAGCAAGAATGTGCCGTACGCTACCACGTACTTGATCTCTTCCTGCAACGCTGTTTGGAAAAGCCGCAACAACAGGTATTCCTCTCTTTGATTGGATGCGTAGTTATACAGCGTGAAGATGACAGAATCCATGAATTTTGTAGATTTATTTTGAGGCATCTGAAAAATCAGCTTGGCCAAGTAGGTTGGGTTAGTCTACAACAAGAAAAATGAGTTAGTGTGCATGTCCACACAGGCCGCTGTCTATGGTGGCTCTAAACTACAGTGCATGAGCAAAGACTGTGCCAAGACATACAAGCCTCTGTAATAGGGTTACCAAGCAGTGTCTGAAGCTGCTTACCTGAAGTAAGTAGAACAAGTGCTGATAGGCTTCCAGCTTTTCTCTCTTCTCTTTGCTCAAAGCTTTCAAACCTCCCCTTTGTTTGTTGAGCATCATCATGTCAGAAAGCTGTTCCTTGTTCTTCTTGGTAAGTTTTTTGCTATGGGAAACAACATCCTGGAAAGAACGAACAGGGACAGATTCCACTCTTAAGTATTTCATAGCAGGCAATATTGGAAAACAGTTGCATCTGAGAGCCCACTTATCTTGCATGTGGACAGGCAGGGTCAGGGTACGCCTGGGGCTACTGAAGTGAAGCATTATTTGCGATGGCAGCAATTTCTCTGACTGGAATTACATGTTCTGCTTTGTCCCTGACTTTGTTCCTGAATTTGTCTGAAACCCTAGAAGGGTTAGTCACTCTTGGCAGTAATTAGTAGCAGAGCTGGTAGCATCCTGAAGATGCCTGAAAATGTTTTCCTTTCTAAATTGGGCTTAAAACGTAAAAATCCTATTTCACAGTCAGCTAGGTTCGCTACCTCTGCCTACTCTGACAGCAGTGGCACTTTTCACTGCAGGCACCAACCCAAAAGTTGCAACCTCCTTCCAAGATTAATTTCACTACAACTGAGATTTTACACTGGGAGGACCCTGGTGTCATGCCATCCATGACCAAATAAAAAGCTGACCAGAATCTCAGCTTGAAGAACAGGTGGTGCTGTATCAGCAAGAGCTGGGGTGGTTTTTTTGTGAAATTAATCACATCAGCCAAATGATAGAGGGGGCCTCCTTTAACCAACCCCAAGTAGCACGAGCGTGTCTCCACCCTCTGAAATTGCCCCCCTCGCTGCAAGCTTGCAGAGCATCACCTGTTTAACCACAAAGGAGCAACAGAACAGAGTTCTCAAAGCCTTCAAACACACAATCTGTTGCATTAATTAGGTCAAGACAGTCTGGTGTTTGTCTTTTTTAGCTCGAGGTCTTGCTTCTTCTCCTTCTGCTGTTTTATTTCTAAGGATACACTCAATTAGTATACACTCAATTAGTAGAATGGAATAAGAACGTACTGTGGGAGTAAAATCTGCAAGGCTAGGGCAATGTCTTCTGCTGGCCCTGAGCAACTGACATCCAAGGCCATGAGCTCTCCATGTTAACTACCACTGAGCTCAGTTCAATCTGTAGCTGGTCTCCCATCAGCGCATTTCCTACCTGCAAAGTTATTTTGTTCTTCACTAGCAGCCCAATTTTGATGTCCATGAGATTGAGGTCATTTTCCAGTTGCTGATTGGATCGGATCAAGGTTACAACCTCCTCACGCAGTTTCATTAGCTCAAGCTCCTCCTGAAAATCTTGGTCACTCTGATCGAGCAAGTGGACAAATTTCCGGACCACAGCCATAGGTGGGTTTTCAGCATTAACTAAAAATAGGCATGAAAACATCAGGGGATGGGAAAGAGAAGTAAACATATATCTCATCTATGTTTAAACAGTGTATCAAGGAGCAACCAGAATAAAATTAGCACCACCATATCTAAACAGCTTCTGACATTTTGAATTTCTTGAGTAAATTAGGAGAAAGCAAACAGTAAAAAATGGCATCAGTATAAGCCTAGGGTCGTCCACACCACCAAAGTTAACTGCAAAGCTATGGTTCTATTTTTCAGCAGCAAAAGCAACAGTTGGAATCATTTTCCTTCAGCCTTAAGAACTACCTACTCTTCCACACTGCCCAACCAATTTCATCCCAATCGCTCTTCAAAACTGCCTTGATATAATAAAATCACACTAAGAACATCCCTTGCAAACAGAGGTTCAAGGAACATCAGTTTTAGCCTCTTGGCAATACTCACTGAGTGTTTTATAGTCTTCTCGTGCCTTGTTTGCTCGTATAAAGGCTTGAATTTTTACAACATCATTTATCTAGGATTAAAAAAAAAAAAAGCACTTGACCTCATTCTGGAAAGAGTACAGAAGTCATGTACCAAATTCATTTAACAAGATAGCCTCTTACGTGGTTTCTGAAATACTGTAGACGATCTCTGTAACGCCTTCTGGCTTGATACATCCTGGTCATTGACTGAATCTACAGAAGGGAAACCAAAATACTCAGATAAAAATCTTTCCTACAAAGTTCACTACCCAAAAGGTTTACCGAAAAAGTCAGTAGAGAGCCTTCACTACCTTCACTACTTGGTCCTTTTGTGCTCGCAGGTAATCCAAACGGATTTGATATGCCTTTCTCTGCTTGTAGCCACGCCACTGGGACTGAAAACAGAAAACAGCTGCACTGACTTTACTTTTCTACTTGAAGAGAAGTAATTACAAATCTGAGCTTCTTTCTGCTCCTCAGCTTCCCAACTTCCCTTTTGGCCAAGCAAAACGTGGGGGAGACATGATTATCTTATCAAGAGATATACACTGTGCAGCATCAACTATTTCACCAACTTTAATCAGGAGACTTGAAATTGCCCCATGAAGAGCCTGGGCCTTCTGAAGCACAGTTAGAGATCAAGGACGCAGCTAAACAGTCAAAATGACAGAAACTGTTCTACACGAGAATCTTGTGTTAGACGCTGCTGCTGGTGAGAAACAAGGATTAACACGCCTCAGAGCAGACTCAATGCTACTGCTACTTGATACTTTGAGAAGTTAGGCAAGGGGTTCTACTACACTTAAAGGGAGAAAGTGTTATTTTAATGAGCTGGGAGTGGTTTTAGGGGCTTTGTTGTGGATTTTTTTCCAATATACAAAGTGCTGCTACTTAGGCAGAAACAAAACACACATCAACTGCTCAATTAATAAAGCGGTAATAGGGTGCAAAGCATCTACTCCATCTGCACACATTTTGGTTACAACCTCAGAGAAAGATTTTTTTCATTGTTCTCCTGTAAATACACCCAACCTTATGCTGAATTATCCCACCATCTCTTGCAGGTCCTCAATCCTCAAAATCCCAGGACAATTTGAAGAGAAGAATAATCTTACTCAGGAGTATTTAAAGCCATGTTGTTTTTCTTCAATTCATGAGGAATCACAGTAGTAATTCATCACATGGTATGATCACCACAAAGACATATAACGAACTTCATATTGCTCTATTCCCAAACCACTGATTCTGATAATAAACTGATAGGTAAAGCTTCCTCAAATAAGTTCTCTCTCCAATTCTGCCTGAGAAGACTTTCTTGATTATATATGACATGGGAAAGTAAATAATATACCAAATCTCTTCGGGAAAAGGAAATGCCTTCAGGTAGTTTGCAAAATGAGGCGAAAACAATTGTGCGCTATAACTGTTTGAACTGAACAAAAACTGTCAATAAGTTTGTGTATAGAAAACAATTGCAGAGTACAAGTTTCAAACATTATTAAAGGCTATCTTTACCTGAATGCAAGTGATTGCTGGGACTTGTTTCTTCAAAAAATTCATTCTTGAGTTGAATTCCTGGCGAACAAGATATCCTCGACAGCAAGCCTGAAGTTTTGTAATCAGGTTCTCATTGGCCAGCCACAGCTGCTCTCGGTTGTATGCCGCAGTGACTCCAGATATGGTGCTCTGGATTAACATTATGGTAGGGAGAAGAGTCAGAAAAAGAGAATGGAGACACAAGAATGATGACGTTACATCAGCTTTCTGTGTTGTGCTTATAGGAAACTTCAACACTGCCTTTCAACACCATGGACCGACAGGATGAATTTTTCTGAAACGGGAGAAGGAGTTTTGACATACACAATCTGATGATATCCAGTGAAATAAATGAGTTACTAAACTTGTTAACGTGACTATGGTATTGAGGCATTTTCTCTTAAGAGCTGCATTAAGGGTAGGAACAGTACGAACATCAATTTTTCAGACAAAGAGTATGTGTCATCTACACTACCTGTATCTCCTCCCGTGACAGCTGCACGTCATTTTGCACAAAATCCGCTGGTTCATCCCATCCTCCCTCTTTGGTCCTCAGGTTATGATAATAATGATAGCCTCCTCTCACCCAGTGTTTCACCCATTCACTGCCATTGCCCCCTAAGAGCAGAAACTGAAGTGTAAGTCTCAATAACAGACAAGCATCTTACCTGTCCCACATACAAATATTGCAACTAGGAAATCCACATATACAGATGCTCCTTCCTCCAAGCAAGAAAAGGCATGTTTCTGAGTCCCTAATGACCTCACACAAGAATTACCTAAACAAAACACATCCTACAAGTGGAAAACATTCTACTACTCACTTTTTAAAAACTTAGTTCAACAAAGCATCCACAGTTGCCATCTGTAATATACCACTTCTCCCCAGAGGCTTTTTTACTTCTGGTTCTGATTACACATGCAGTAATATTGAATTTATTTCACTGTTAGCTACTTGAGCTTTACCTGCTGCCATTTTTCTTCTCTTAACTTCTGACAGCTCTCGCTGGTACGTCTCAGCACATTCTGGAGTGACTCCATAGAGCCCAACATCCGGTGAACGTAAGGCACTTAGGGTCTGGCTCACATCACCATGATCTACTGCTTCATTAATGGCCAGAATTCCTAAAGAGACTTAGATAACAGAAGGAAGCAAGTTATCTTGGCATTCAGGGGCTCAGTGACTCACAACAAAACACAGAACAATACAATACAAAACATAAATAAAACCAATCAGACAACTTGCAGCATGGAGGCCTCTCCAGTATCCAATCATCTGTGGTACTGCACCTGGCAGCACCTAATTTGTGTGCCCTGAGCCCCAGTATGGTGCTGATTTACCACCAACATTTCTCAGCAACACACAATGTTTTAGCTCTACACTGACATCTGTTTTAGTTAAGGCAGTTTCTTCTGGCGAGCCAGGCACAACTCAAAAGGGGCCTTTTCAACAACTAGTACTATCCATCCCTAGTAAAAAAAGTATGGAGTAGTTTGTAAACAAGTCAAAAACCTGACTGGGGAAAAGACAGGGGGCAGACGAAAATAACAAGATGTCATTCCAGGGCTACTCCACAACCGCAACTCAAATACAGACATATTCACAAGAGCACAGGAATCGCTCGACACAGCAAACGTCAAATACAGTAGCTTTCAGCAGTAGGTGAGACTGCAAAAACGTCTGTTCATACATGGATAGATAAGGGTATCTGAAGATCTTATTCAGGCTTAAGGGCACATACTTTATTCCTGGTTTTGACCATGTGTTCCTTGCCATGGTTCCTTGGTACCCAGCAAGCAAACAGCATATACACAGAACAGGCCATTAGAATATATCAAGACTTTAAAAACCCTCACATTTTGTTAATGAGAAAGCTTCTGTCAGGATCAACAAGAAAAAACCCAAACCAGAACACCCCCACAAAAACATCAGTTTAAAAAAAAAAAAAAAGTTCAGCAAAGAGTATAACTACTGTTTCTGGAGACAGAAATTACATCATCATAAAGACTGGAATGTGACGATGGGCAGGCCAGTCCACCTGCAAACTGCACTGAGGAGCAAAGGTGGGTATCACTGATGTGTATTATTGTCTGCATTTGAAAACAATGTGGGATAGTCTAGAAATACCTAATAGAAGCAAGAGAAGACAACAGCATGCCACACAACCAAAAGGTAACGCGCACTGGAAAACACCATTTAAATTATGCATGTGAACGTTCTCATACTTAATCACCCACACACCCAGTTAGTTGCAAATGACAAACAATGTGATAAAGATTTGCCAAAGGAGGTAACATGGTCACATGCAAAACTGGAAAAAAGGTATATCCCTCTGAAAGGTAAGAAATTCAGTGTTTGAAGAATCTGACGTTCACTCTTCAAAGAATAATTATTACACCAGAAGCACATAAGCACATTTGATGTCCTTTGCCACATTCACATGACATTTCCAGCTCCCAACCTTTCCTTAAGTAACCAGTATTTGGTTGATAATGGGGATTAATTGCCATTTTGTGTGACAATACTTACATCTCTCAGACTCCTCTGTGTCCTTGTTAGCCCTATAAATCCCATCCTGAATTTCATCTAGCCAAAGTACAGCTGTTTCATCCTGGGTGTCCTGAAGAGAATATGATGCGAAAAATATACATAGCATGAGGAGAAAAGAATCACTATTTTTGCAAAGTAAAATAATCTGTAATCAACTATAGTTAATATTGTAGTTGTCTGTATCAGAGGGAACAGGAAGCATTTCAGTCTCTCTAACTGACTCCAACCCAAGGACATCACGTGCATTTGTGTCTAGCAAAGACTACTGGAGCATTACCAGACTCAATACCTCCCGGTCAAACACTCTTTTCAGGAAACTGAATGAAGACGAAATTCTGTCAGTGGGAACCCCTCTGATATGCAAAGAGAACACAAGGCCAAGGACTTGGTACTTGTTAGTCCTAAAGCCCTACTTGCTAAGAGGACATGACTTTCAAGGAACACAATTTAGTCCTTCTCAGAATATGGCTACAAAGAGTTCTTAGAAGAGAAAGCTGCTGATGCACATCTCTGTGCAGAAGCTAAAAACTCTCAGGTAACTAATGCCACATCAGGCTGTTCTTGTTCCTGTCCACAGAAGTTCACAAGCCTGGTACAAACCAGCAAATCAAGAAGCATTGTACATATTGTGGCTGGGTGTACATGCTCAACAGACAAAGCCATGTTTCAAGCTTATTTAACAGATTGTTTGTTCAGGAACGTGATCACACGGTATCCTGTATTTTGGTTGGGATTTGAAGAAATCCAGTCAACTAATATTACATGCAGAAATTTGAGAAGAGGAAAGAGACAATTATTTAGCAAGTCCCAAAATATACATAAAGAACAATGATCCAGCAGTTGCCAAGTGTAGCCTTCTCCCCACCCACTGTTGCTTCCTGTAGGTAACGACTGAAAGAAGTGCCAAGACAAAACTGCCACCTCTCTGACAACTCTCGTCATAGAAACAGAACACAGGAAATATTTATTTCTGGTATGGAATAATAATCACACTGCACAAAAAAGCCACTATTTACAGTGTTCAAGAGCTTTAGGGCCAGACTGAAAATTAACATTTCCTTACATGCCCTCGACATTTTTCCCCACTGTTTTGGTAGGCCTGAAGCTGCCATGCTTACTGATATCTCATTCAAGAGATCAACATGCCTTTCATAGGCAGGTCTCATCTGAAAGCCCAAACGGTCCCACAGGAGTACCAGCAACAGTGAAACTCTTGTCCAGGGAGTGGGGAAGAACAACTTCCTCTACTGCAATCTCTACCAGCAAAAAATCAACCCAAAGACTACCAAAACCATCCCATGCTTTTCTATGGATTTACTGTTGCAGGCTTTTTGGAAGGTACACAGTGCAACCTATTAGAGAGTCTACTGGTTTTCTCTCTCTTCTCATCACGTGAGAAACGTGCATCACCAACGCTCCCCATTCACATAAGCAACTGAACAACCTCTTGTGGCAAACTACAACCCCTCTCAGCCCCAAAGTACCAAAATCACTAGTTAGTAAGTAACAGTTGACTTCAGATAGCGGCTATTTTCCCCACAAAGTTCCTTTATAATACAATCTTTCAAGTTCTGAAGTTACTGCCATGCTGCTAGGAGAAGCCCTAAACTGAACACATGCCTAAATACGGTAATTTCATGACAACTGAGAAGTTACCAGCACAGCCTGGCAGAACTTACTCTAACACTAAAGAGAGTTCATTATTTCATTCTGACTCAGCAGGAGGAAATGCTTCAGCACAAAATGGGTTCCTGAGAAACATTAACCCTTTCAGGGTCCTTGGGGAAGCTGCTTAATGATTTTCAAAAGCATATAGTTTTCAGCTACTGACATCATGTGGATTTACCTTTAGTCAAAATAATTTAAAAAAAAAAAATATAGCAGTGTTCTGATCTTACACCAATGTAGATCTCAGTCTCTATGCAAAATTCTGCATTGGTATTAGAGCAATGACCTCCACAGCAGAAAAAAAAACCCAAACCACTCTCAAGCCACTGAAAGCAGAGATATCTGCTACTTCTTTGCAAATAGGTTAGACAAAAATGTCAGAATCTCATCTACATTACTCAATCACTTACATATACACAGGCACAGTCTCATTCCCTTTCCTAAACCTGTAAGATAAGACTTGCTCTTCCTCTCCCCACCTTCACCTTTAGTCAGTTATTGAAAGTGGCAACTATGTACAAGTAGGTAGAAGTCCTTGGCTAATAAGAAAAACCATGACTGCTCAAAAAATCATTAGCAATAGAAGTGTCACCAGGTGAACAAAGGCATCAGTATACTTTTTTCTAGTAGCACGTATTTTCTTCACTTATTTTTTTCTAATTTACCCCTTAACAGATTTTTCTACTTTCAGAAACTTTCTTTTCACCGTATATAACTATACCTATAACTATAGTTAACAATGATCACTGGAAAAATGACACTTAAGCTTGCAGGAAACTTGCATTCAGAAGTTCAGAGCTCCTAGAATGAACATGGTCTCCTTGTGAAAACAGATGAAGCATATTTTTTCTCCACAAACAAGATACACATCTCACTCTGTACCTGCAGTTAGCTGTAGCAAGCCACCTCGTGCAGTTAATATTCTTATATCCATCTCTATAGTTCATAAAGATTCATATGATCTGGCTGCAAATCTCTTTCTCTAGTATAGAAAGATCCAAACCGACTGAGTAAGATCAGTTGATGGTATGTATGAATGCCCAGCTCTCCACTTCCAGTTTTGATTCCTGGCTTTCAGGATGAGTAATACGCCCATTACACAGATGTAAAGGTTTTTTGAGAGGCGGCATTTAATTGCACTCACCTGTGCTTTCTCTCTCTTGGCTCGAAGTAGTGTATCCTGGTAATGCTGGGCTACTTTTGGGGCTACGCCCTCCAATTTTGCTGCAGGAATTTGTAAGGCTTGAATAGTCTTTTTAGTGTCCCCTTCATCCAGAGCTTCATTTATAAGACCAATTGCCAAAATCCCTAGGGAGAAAGGTGTAGGGGGAAAAAAAACGCAAAATTCCATTTTTGGTCAATAATAATCATAAGCATTGTTTCACGAGACAAGTGCAGTTAGTCCTTCCTAAACCAGGTATCGGCTGAGAACTGTAATATTTTTAACATTTTATTTGTAAAGAAAGCAAGACTATTTCTCCACCTGAAAGTAGCCATAATTCCTGCAGCACTGCAATTTAAAAAAAAGCGGGGG